CTCGTATGTTACATCGATGACAGTCTTAAGCCTAAGAATATATAGAAAAACCAAAATGGTATCGTCTTCTACCGACAGTTTAGTTTTAAATATAAACAGTCAGCGTTACAATGTACTATTATAAAATGACATCACAAATGATTAGAATACTGGGTTCGTTTTATGTTGCCAGAGATTTATACCTATATACTATATATAATATTCCATATACAAAAGTAAAAAAAAAAAACAATTATTACCCTGGCTTGTAAGTCTCTTACTGGGTACAAAATTAATAATCATAATTATGTTTCAACAATTCAAATATACATTATATAACAATACACAATATAGTGTGTTTTAACAATAAAAATCAGTAAAAAAGGAATATTAAAAATTTAAAAAGGTTCAAGTTTCGAGTGAATTTATTTGGGCGTGGTGTGTATTTGATAGAAAATTGAACATTTTCTTCATCTCCAGATAATTCAGGGTACTCAATAGTCAATAGTCATAAATTCTTCAATATCTTCCAAAATAGAAATGTTCATTTCAAATACATAATCCATTTTATCAATGTTATAGGGCCAGGTAAGTCTAAAAACAAAAACAAAAACAACTAGTTATATAAAATAAAACTATAAATATAATAATTTAAATAAATATTAATAATTATTTAGGCAATTATTTTATAATGAATTATACACCTATAATCACATGGACAAAATAACGGCAATAAATTAACTAAAAGGTTAAAACGAATAGCTAGTATACATGGACAGTAATGTATTCAATTAAATAAGTTTACTAAGAGTAAACTTAGTAAATGATATTACTCCTAGTCATTGAAATAATAATGGGTGCAAGCAGATATCAAGTTATGTTGAGAAATTTAAAGATTTATGAAAATGTATGTATTATAATAGGCAATGTCTTATATATTTATTAAAGCAAACATTTATAGTGGATATTATAAATATAATTACTATATTAACAGTTTTATAAAATTAATATAATTTTACATTTTGTTTTGGAATTAACTTAAGTAACATAACTTTCTATATTATTTTATGTTATTAGATTAATATTAGTAAATATTAAAGCAGATACAGTTAATAAAAAAGTATCAAACATAAATAATAAGATTATTCCAGGTTGAAACTGAAAATAATCATTAAGTAATATTAAAAAAAAAAACCCAGGACTCAAGAATTTTGAAGTACTGATGAACTAGATTACTTTGCTATAGAGTTTTCATAACTTGGCTACTTCCCCTATATTCAAACTATACAACAACATCATTATTCAAATAAATCACGGATTTTTTAGTTCGATCACAAAATTAATTAAAAGTTAGGCACATACATAAAAAAAAATTCTAAATTCAAATGTATAATTCTGATTTATATGCTCAAGGGGGAAATAAAATGGCACAGTTTCATGAATAAATTATTTGAAATATTGTATTACATTAAATAAATATTAAAAAAAAAAAAAATGTATCATTTTAGATTACCCTAGGATACATTTTATCTATTTGTGTGATTAAATGTGACATTAGAAATAATCCACAGTAGTTAACATAATAATTTAATATATTACATGAAACACACACACCACACAGAATCTACAATTTTTTTTTTAAAAGGATTTTCTGGTGAAACATAAATATATCGCTTATATAACCATTATTCTTAACTCATTAAAATACATAAATTCAATGTGATGATACCTATCTAATTTGTCATGGTCGATACCATCAACTGAATTTACTAATTTTACTAGAATCCTGAATGAATTCATGTATTTATAAAATAACAATGAAAACATATTTTAAAACAGAATCAGTATGATGTTGTACGATTGTGGTACAAGTTTTTAGATCCTAAATGTGTTCCACATTTACAGTACACATGTTACGTTTACTGCTACAACCTCTAGTTAATTCATTAATCAAATCAATCACAGTAAAAACATATTATAGTAGATTTAGAAGACATAATGTTTCGATTATTTTGCAATGAAGTTGCCATTCAAGCATACCTCCAAAACATAAAAGATTTTCAAGTAAACATTCAATACGTATCAACTTCTATCAAAGTCCGTTACCAAGTCTGTAAATATTGCTAGTACACTGTATGTGTAACTTATTTAACGCTCAAAATTGATCCGATATGTATTAATACACTGAAATTTATTCCTTGAAAATCTTGATGGTTAAGACTCTACAAGTTGGATCACAGGTGGAGTTAGCAATCTAAAATGTTGTTTAATAATAATCATAAGACACTCGTGGTTAATACCAGTTCAATCACAACCAAGAGAAAAAACAAATCGTGGTAACTAATTGTTTAACTTTGTTAATAGGGACTCGCATTAAAATTATAACTTTCAAACTGATCTGGGGTACACACACGTATGTTGGAAAAATCAAAAGCGACTTGAGTCGTTAGCCATCATATTATTGCGCCTTCGGTAATACAATGCTGCAATTCTTGATGGAAATACAGTATACTACATGAAATCGGTAAAAATTGCTTTATTTCAGAACACCTTCATTTATTTGTTAGCGATTACGGGCCTTATTAGTGATTTTAAGCGCATATCCATCAGACAATTGGGTTTTAGTTATGATTGAAACTACAATGTTACGATGAATCAACGCATTTGATGCTCTGAATTTCAGAACACTATAGCTTGAAAATACACGATGCATTTTAGAACATGTTTTATCATTTTGATGGACAAACGTATCCACTGCGTTGCATTATCGAAAGCGCAATTATACAAGCCATAAACAGTTTAATATGCCTTGTACAGTTAGGAACTGAAGCGGGCCGCCACCAAGACACAAGATCAATATCGACAAACGATTGGTTTTAAGAACAAGCGGGGGAGGGGGGACGCGCACAGTCCACACTGTATATCAATTGACATTGGATTAAAGGTTCACTCTTGGTGATCATTTTGGATGAATCATCCACAGTGAATGAATAAGAACAATGTAATCATCCAGAGTGAAGGAAAGTTGGACATGAAACAACTTTGTTCATCGTTTGATCGTTCAATGAGGATGATAATTTTACATTGTTCTTATTTGATTCATCCAAAATGATCACCAAGAGTGAACCGTGTAAACGCGCCTTAACATAAACTTGACGCACAAAACAGAATTTCGGAGGCGATCGTCAGAATGCGTCTAATAAGACGGCGGGCCAACAACGAGTATTCGACATAATATCGACGATACCTAAACGCGCGAGAACGTACAACGCTCAGCTGAAAATAATATTATACCAGCACATAACGCAAATGGCGTACCGACCTGCCTGATGGCGGACGGGTGTACCAAAACAGTTGTTGTGACATGGGCCAAAGGAACAACTTACCGTAGATTGAGTTCCTAGATGAGTGTTGACAAGGCGGGAGAATCACCAGCAGCGACAGAAGCGTACTGGTCGAAGACGAGTAATCTAATGTCACGGACGTACCTACGAGTGTAAGGCATCTTTTTCAAAAACTAATGCAACGTACAACTTTTAACTATCAGGAATGCCACGTGACTTGGGCAAGTGGCGAGCAAGTTGAACGGTAGAGAGTAAAAAGAACACTCGTGTTCGTTACTTAATTAATCTGAGGTTTACCGACAAGCACGATTAAAGATATATCTTAAATCGTGCCGACAAGGCGTGCGCCGTGTGAACGCCGAACAGTAGCTTGTAAGCGTCCGCCGCCCGTACGGCCGTACGGCGTACGCCGTACATGTGTTGATAACAGTATGATAACTGTTGTCGGCGTTGTCGCGTCGTCCTCGAGGAAATCATGTAAAGGCTGCAACGCCACAGCATGAAAAAAAAATATCTTCATATAATAACGCTGTATCTAGTTGGTCGCTTTTCATTGGTTGTCATGATCTATATACAGAGTGATTCAAAATTCATGTTACAATAATCATGGCTAAATATATATATTTAGCCATGACAATAATATACTAGTGTATCGTGTATGATATGGTCGAAGGGCGGTGTGTTATCAACAAAGCAGTAGTTGCTGTACCATAATCTCTCTCAAAATGTTTATTATTTCGTTTATTGCTGATTAGAACAAGGCACGAACAACGAATGAACGAACTTCAAGTCTTGTGAACTGGTCAAGACGTGGTCCTGGTGCACTTTCAAATCGTCAAATCGAGAACGCTTTAAGAACTTCATGTGGTTTGACAAATATTCATCGATTAGTTTTCGATTTTAATTCGTGGACGTCATAATAATTTCAGAATTACCAGCTTATAATCCGAATTAAGTCATTCAATGAAGTACACGCACAGAGCCACAGAGGTATGTTCCATTCTAGAGTCGTATCACTATTACCTACCGATCACTATAATATACTCGTTAATTCCACTCAAAACTGGTTCAAATGGTCGCAAGAATATAATTTTCATCTTTCCACTTTTCGGGTATTATATTTACGTTCGCCTATCAACAAACATGTGATTTGTGTACTTTTTACTGTATTAATGGAACAGCGTGTGAATGGTGTATACTCACTGTTTCTGTAATTTGTATTTTTGCTTCTTCTCTTTAGTTAAATTTAATTTATGTACATGAGCAGTGCAACAATATTTTTACCACCGACATCTATTAATTTCAATACGGATTGTTGGTTTCAACAAAATAAACTATTTACCTACTTTTAATAATAATTTGGGATTCATGAAGTCTGTAATATTACAAGTTCGGCAATACCTACATTGGTGCATTCTGTGCATTGTTTTTTTTTTTGCTAATGGAAGTAATATGTGTACTTGATAGTCTAAAAAATTTAAACATTATTTGATATTCGTTTATCTCAAACTTTATTATCTATCTATATTATTTATGGTTTGATGTTTTAAACATATTGATGTAATTGGCATTGCATTTTGTTGCAACAAAATAAAATATGTACCTATAATATTAATTTTTTTTTTTTACAGAATTTATAAACAATAGTTTAAAATCCACATCTACTTGTATGAGAAAATGACTTTCTATTATAAAGGACATGAAGAAAAAATTCCAGAAGTAAAATGTTGGTATGCAAAAACAATAGTGTATGATGCAATAAAAGCTGGCAGTATAGATGGCACTGATAAAGAACCACACGATGCTGGAATTGTTAGGGCATTAAATTCCAATTATAAAACGCCTTACAAGGCAAAAGGAAATCCTCTAAATACAATATTTGTTGGCAGACTAAGCTTAGATACAACGGAACAAGATTTAGAAAATGTAAGATAATATTTTTATTCTGAAATAATAACTAGAAAATAGGTAGATTAATTTAATATTATTTTATGTAAAAACAGAAAATAACAGACCAACAGAAACAAATTGAAATAATATGTTCAGATGATAATAAGTGCAAATTGGCTCAAAACTGGTTATGTATTTTTATTGAAACATATGAAACAGTGTACCATTACCTTCCGCCTATAAATTTGTTGTTACCATGTATATAAGTACATAAATTATGAATTAATTTTGTTTTCATAGTTTCATAGGTACATACATTGTACAAAATATTCTTAAGGGGGCTGGAGCGTGATTCATTTTTGGTCGAAAACATATCTCATTACTTCAATCACTACGCCCAATATAATGTTATGATATTAATTTTAAAAGCAGATTTAAATTTGTCACTAAATTATCTATGCTTTGACTATTTCATTTGTCTGATTTTTATTTTTTTTTACTTAGAAATTTACTAACAATCAGAGTAAAAATAGATCATATTCATAATTCAAATTTAAATACATTTATGTAGAATATGAAAAATGAATGACAGTTAAAGCATAGTAAATTTAGAGGAGAATTCAAATCTGCTCAAAATTTAAATCGGAACATCCTACTGTGCCTAGTGATTGAAGTCACTGGCAGTATTTTTTGAAAAAAAAATGTTTGTAATTTTAGAAAGCAATATAATTATGGTGACTTGTGCATGAGCATAGGTAAAATGACAGACGTACATACTGGTCACTATGATGCCCCTATAAAACGTGATCAGTATTACGAATAACACACTAATGTTCATTTACTTTCATCACATTCACAAGACACATATAAACAAAATATAAAATGCCTAGTTTTTATTTCTTAGAATTGAAGCTCCAGCCCCCTTAATTTTAATTTCAATAAATAGTTTTCTTAATGTATACTTATACACTGTTTTGTTGCATAATAATTATCATCATTCTTTTTTTTTTGCGGGTAGGGGGTTATTTTTTACCATATTATGTAATGAATGTATGCACTTAGATACAAATAGGAAAACTACAACTAAGTAACTAACCGGCTAAAATCATACTATTTAATTGAAAATATTATAATATAAATTAAATAATTTATTGTTGTTTATTTTGTTTTAGGAATTTTGTCGCTATGGTAAAATGATAGCTTTAAGGCTGGTTAAAGATTTAGTAACTGGTTTAAGTAAACGATATGCTTTTATAGAGTATGAAACATTTAAAATGGCATTGAATACTTATGCACTTTGTAAAAAACTAGTACTAAAGAATTCTGAGGTATTTGTGGACTTTGAATGTGAACGATTACTACCTGGTTGGAAACCTCGAAGATTAGGTATATTGATGTTTTTTTTTTAAATTTTCTAATAAAAAGAATTAATATAATTTAATTTTAAACTTTGTTTAGGTGGAGGTTTTGGAGGTGAAAAACAATCAGGTCAACTTAGATTTGGCGGCAGAGTAAGAAGTTTTAGACCACCTTTAAATCTGGACGACTTTAAATGGAATATACCAAATAATAAAAAAGACAGAGAAATTAGAAAATCAATTAGAACTCAATCTACTAGAAACATTCATTCAAATTCTGTTAGCGTTTCAACTACATCTGCGCCTTCAATTATATCATTACCATTAACACCACCATCACAACCAGCTATAGTTTTACCATTAACACCCCCTTCGTATTCAAATGCACTGTTACCATTAACACCACCTTCACAATCAATAATTGTCTTACCATTAACACCACCTTTAAATTCAACTGTCACATTACCATTAACGCCACCATCTCATTCAACTACATCTTTACCTTTAACGCCACCCCCAAATTCAATTCCACCTTCTTGAAATTATATTAAATTTCAATTAACTTATTGAAAATTTAAATGAATAACTATAAGTAATAACATTGAAAGTAAATATTAATTTTTTTTTGTACTAATTTATCTGAATATTATAATAATTATTGTGATTGTAAAAACTGTTTTTATTAGGTACAATTATTGTTTCTTATTATTAGTAACTTACTATACTTCATAACTTTGCAAGTAAATATCAGTATTCTCAAATCGCTGTTTAGATTTAAATATGTATTTAATATGTAACTTAACAATACTCTATTCAAAATAAGAACTGTTGTTCCCCACCGACTCTATGCCACAATCAACCTCCAATAGAGGATGTTTTTTTTTTTTAAATCTCAACTCAGCTAATAAATATAATAACCTATTGCTTTTTTTGCTGTACATAATCAATTTGGTATAATAAGCTGAAGAAATAAAATCTGAATCATTAAATGATTTATAAAATTATAAAATTAACATGTGGGCTTGATGAAGACCAACAAACTGCACTTAGAAAGTGATTTTTGATCTCAAATATTTAAATCTATTTTATTAACATCTGTAATCATAGAATATCCAACTTCCTCTCCATAATACTAACATTTATTATCTATGTTCATTTTTATTATTCTCTTTTCTTTTATATTGTAAAATAACTGTTGAGATTTAATAGCTTTTAGTTGAAGTCTCATTAGATTAATAAATGTATTAATAATTATTACCTACCTAGATATTAATTTAACTTTAAAAATGCTGATAATTATTCCTTAGTTATGACTTATGTGTAAACTCCTCCAGATGGCGAGTCGGTCTTGCCGGCGACGGCGGCCCCTCCTGCCATCCGGACGTGAGGATTGGCCGAGTGTGCGCTGTGGCGACGCAGTAGTAAGAGTAGTGTTCAGTGGATATTTTAACTAATATACTGAGAAAACTTTTTGTCACCTAGTAGATGATATATTTAATTACTGGGCGACAACGGTTTTTTTGTAAAAATGTTGATATTTGAAATTATTATATAATTTTATTTATTGATTATTTACTATGTTTAATTTTGTTATTTATTTATGGCGTACATCATTTCGTTTGACAAACAATTTTTGAGAAAGGAAGTTCCCTAGTTTTTATGATATTGTTAGATATAGGTAATTTTGTCCATAATATTTAATACTGAAAAGTTTTTTATAAGCTCATAATATTATGTTGAAATTGATAATCAGCGTGAATTTTTTTTTTATGTCGCCCAGTGATAATTTCTTAATATATTCACTGGTAGTGTTGTGACAATACGAGCGGCGTATGCGTATGTGCATGCTAAACTCGTTTTATGTATTTAATAGTTATGTTGTTAAAGTGTAATAAACAGATGAATAGAATATTATTGTGTCTTTTCAATTGTTAGAGTGACCCAATAGTTAACATATGATACAGTATTTTTAATACACAATTATTATTGGTAGCAGGTATTTACTATTATTATTACAAAATTATGATTTAATATACCTTATAATTTGTACATTATACTCATAATCATCTTGTGTTAACACCATTTACAATTACTGTGTTATTATATTATATATTATTTAACTATCCCAATATAGAACTAACATTTTCAAGCTGTTACAAAATTAGTCTTAAAAAGTTTAAAATATTTAAGTATTAATTTAAATAAAACTTTCATGATTATTGAATTATTCTTTTATAACTATGCATATGATGAACATTCTAAAAATTTTTAAATTATTTCATTCGATTATTAAATTTAAGTTTAAAAAATACTTTAATGATACATTAGTACCTATCACGGTTATCTACTAGTAAATAAATATATAAATAATTTTGAGCGTGACAAACTCGCAATTTTAACAATTTACAACTGATTTACCATATTGTCATATTACATATTATAGAAAAGAACTTTGCCTGTGTAACGTTTTTATTTTGTTGATATCAATACTCATTATAGTTTGTAATATGCAAATAAAAAATACATGAATCTTTATGAAAGAATTATTTAGTTTATACTTTATACTTATATTCAGTGGCATAGCCAGGAATTATGTATGGGGAGGGCTAAGTATCAAAAAAAAATACAAAAAAGTGGTAAGTAGATGTCGCTCTGCTGTACAGTGTACAGTAGATTACAAGTCGGTCACTGTATAATGTATTGTATTAAATTTGAATTCAATGATATCATATTATCATTGTATACGAAAAACGATTCTGAGGGGAGACGGTTTGTCAGTCTGGATATTTTATATTGTTATTATATTTTATTATAGGCCTGCATGTTGAATTAATATTATAAATTACAACAAAATAAATAAAACAGTTATTTTTGTTTGTTATTATGGTGATGAACAAAGCGTTAGAAATTAAAACCCCATTTTTACCGGTGTTTTGTAATTTATCGTTGGTTTTTCCCGTGGCATTAAGTAACTATTGAGAAAATCGAAAAATGAGCTTTTTAAAGTACCATCTTGATCCAATTTTCTAAAAAATCAGATACTATTATATGTTAAAATCGAAGCACTTCTTCTGGTAGTAATTTTGTATACAAAATAAAAAAAATAATAAAAATAAAATAAACACCATTGTAAAATACAATATTACAATATTATGTCTTTTATTTACACTTTTTATTTTTTTATTAATACAATAATTCTAAGGTCAACACAGTCAGAGGGGGCTATAACCCCTTAGCCCCCTCCCCCCAGGCTACCTCACTGCTTATATTTAAGTTATTGAAGAAAAAACGATACGTCATAGTTTAAATTGTAATGTAAAAATTCGGCAAGCTGTACTGAGAATACCGTCTCCGTAAGTTTGTCTGCGCAAAACCATTTTTATCGATCAATGGTTCTATGGAGGTCCTTAGGCTTCCTCTTATACATGCGTCATATTTTCTTCGTATATTTTCTGTTTACAACTGCCAACTTGTACATGTACAAGAGACTATATACAACACACACTTATATTTGCAAAGTTTATTTTATATTTCCAGTGGAGCACAATGATGTGTGTTTTTTTGCGTTTCGTACACGATAAGTAGGTATTGTGGAAATAATGCTTCGATTTTCAACTTCAGTAACTTTTCTGGTGGGAAAGTGAATCTATATAGTTGCACCTTTCGAAAGGGCATAATGAAAAATTCCCAGAAGTTTACAAAAGCGTCAAGAAAAGAAATCAAGTTTTCAACGAAATTGATTTTGTTTTTTGGTGTAACAGCTCGATAACGAATAACCGTAGATATTTGATATATACACCGAATTCTATATTAGCATTTCCTACGCATGATTTAATTTTCAAAATATTTTTCAAGTTATTTATAAACATAATACATTTTCGATAGGAACTGTGGATACAACATTTTTGCTCTGTCAAAAAACATTTAATAAAACTGTTAATAGTGTAATTAAAAAATAGCATAAATTCACAATCATATTTTATCTGAAGTCTGAAGTTATAATTTATACAAAATTCGTCTATACCACGATAATTTGCAAATTATTTTGAGTTCAAAATTCATAAGAAGTTTTTTTTTTTATATCTAGGATTTGCATGTTTAATATGAAATTCTTTGTATGTTTTTCAAAAAAAAAAAAATTACCAGAAAGTCAAATTCAAGTTTTTACATCATCGTCCGTTTTAGGTACATTATATACTTTAAATATATACACACTTAAACTAACGATTTTTCGTTGAATGATTTTCTTCTTTTGTTGTAACTAAAAAATAAATAACCGTAGATAGGTACTTACAATATTCACTGAATGGACATATTAGCATTTTCTAAATATTTTGACTATTTTTCCAGACATTTTCAATATTTTTTTAGTTTTATTTTAGTTTTAGGTTTCTAAACATAAGTGTAGAACACCTTATAGGTATCACATTTTGTCCATCAGTATATCCGAAGTCCGTCCGTTAATTACCAGTACATAGCAAGGTTCGCTACTTGACTTAAGGCCCCTGCAAACGTGTCATTTTTAAGGAGTTGTGTTTAGGCAACCATTTCGTTCCTGCGATTATTGATCGTCTTTGTGTGTGTAGTAAATGATCATTAGGGTGTGTATACTCCCCTACCATCATCCGCGACCCACATCAACTTACAATACATTGTTATTTCTAATCTGGTTTATGGCCTCACATGCACAATTCATTTAATGTCTAGATCAAAATATTCAAAACCAATTTATGGACGTGAAATAGCCGCCGCACTGACAACAATTAAGGTAGGTACCACTTCTAATATTTCGATTTAAAAAATGTAAAGCCGTTTGTGTTGGTAAACAACTTTACTTTGCATCGGGTGGGAGCAATTTTTCAATTTTAGCAAATTCTTGACGAGAATAAATATTTTACATTGTATAAATTTATACATTTTTAGTATTGAATATATTCAAAAATATCTAAAATATAAAAAAAAAATGCTCCAACCGATGCAAAGTAGATTTGTTGACCAATTAAAACATCTTTACAATTTTAAATCGAACCACTAGAAGTAGGTACTTTAATTTTTGTCAGTCTCTAAGGTCGTTTTGATGAAAAATTAATAGGGTTTTCAGGAGCCTTAATAATATCTAATAAATACCCGTGGTACACTGGTACATAATATAACAACTATTATTTGTATTAAGATATTTAATTACGATTGTTGTTTTTAATAAAGCAACATATAAAAAGCGGGTAAGTGGATGTCGCTCTGCTGTACAGTAGGTTACTAGTGGGTCATTGTATAATGGATTATGTATTAAACTTAAATTCAATAATATTCTATTATTGTATAAGAAAAACCATTCTGAGCGGAGACGGTTTGTCAGTCTGGATATTTTATATTGTCATTATTTATTATATCATGTACCTAAGTTGAATTAATATTATAGTATTATTATTTTTTATTCATTTCTATAAACAAAGCGTTAGAAATTAAAATCCCATCTATAGAGGTTTTCTGTAATTTGTTGGTGATTTTTCTGGTGCCATTAAATAATTATTGAGAAAATT